CTGCCCCAGCCAGAGATCCCACTGCCCCAGCCAGAGATCCCACTGCGGCAGCCAGAGATCCCACTGCCCCAGCTAGAGATCCCACTGCCCCAGCCGGGACACTGCCCCAGCTAGAGATCCCACTGCCCCAGCCAGGCATACCACTGCCCCAGCTAGAGATCCCACTGCCCCAGCCAGAGATCCCACTGCCCCAGCCAGACATACCACTGCCCCAGCCAGTATAGTGAGGTAGTGCTGTCCAGTGTGTGTTGTGTGTGAGGTAGTGCTGTCCAGTGTGTGTTGTGTGTGTCCCAATGGAGTGAGGTAGTGCTGTCCAGTGTGTGCTGACCGGGCTCACCTGTGTGTGTGCGGACATGTCTCTTCAGGTCGAAGGTGTCGTTGAAACCCTTCCCACAGTAAGTGCACAGGTGTCTCTTGCTGTCGTTGTGACACTTCATGTGTCGATTCAGCATCCGTTGAAACTGAAAGCTCTTCTGACACACCTGACAGGTGAAGAGCTCACCTGAAGGCGGCTCACCTGTTGTCACCTGGCAGAGAGAGAGGGGTTAATACAGACACACTGACTGGACACTCCAGTACATGAACACTCACTGAGAGAGAGGGGTTTATACAGACACACTGACTGATTGGACACTGGACACTGGAGAAGGGTGCTGGTCACTGTCCTTCTGCTTACCTTCATTTTGGACCGCACATAGGTGGTCTTCTTCAAGCAGCTGCCATTGACCTCTGAACTCTGACCTGTGCCCTGCGCTGTGCATGACGGCAGCTCGGCAGCGTGTGGCAGTGTAGGGGTGTGGGGGGGGCGCGTGGACAGGCACAGGGCCGACTCCGCTGGGCTGGCCTCCGACTCCTCCAAGCAGGTGGAGACGCCCAGTGAAACTGCGGAGACACACAGGGTCAGACACAGCTGCTACAGTGGCAGGGGCTTCAACTGCAGACTCTACCAGCTCCTTCTGAGGGACAGACAGTCCCAGACACACGCAGTAACGGGCAGTCCTGTCCAGGACAGACATGAGGAGCACAGCTCAGCGCAGTATGAGGGAGTACGGTACCCTGGAGCACAGCATAGCTCAGCACAGTACAGCTCAGTACAGTATGAGCGAGTACAGTACCCTGGAGCACAGTATAGCTCAGCACAGTATGTGGGAGTACAGTACAATAGAGTACAGTATACTATGGGGGAGTACTACACAGTACAGTAGAGTACAGTACAGTATGGGGAGTACCACACAGTACAGTAGAGT